CATGGCTTGTGAAAAATTCTCGAAACAGAATTTTAAAAGCTTTTGTGTTTCCAGAAGGAGCTCCCAGGTGGTTCAGTGGTAAAGAATCTGCCTCCCAATATATGAGATGCAGGCGATGTGGGTTTGATCCCTGGGTTGGGTAGATTGCCTGGAGGAGGAAATGGCAACCCACTCCAGTATTCCTGCCTGGAAAATCCCATGGACAGAGGAGCCTGGAGGACTAAAGTCCATGGGGTTGCAAAGAGTCAGACAACATTGAGTGACTGAGTACACGCATGTTTCAAGAAAAAAGGTGAACTGTGGCTTGGGGAAGATACTGGAATAATAAAAATGACATAGGAAAGAGTAGAATTATTCAATTCCTAGTTAGCTTTCCTCTTTTCAACCAAGAAGAAGATATTTAAAACTAAAAAAGACCCATAAGAATCATTAAGAAGTTAAAGCCTAGGAGAGTAGGGTGAGGAAGAAGACATCAAGCCATTCTTCATGGTAGTGAAAGAAGTTGGAATCTTAGATCCAGATGAATATCTAGATTCAGATGAATGGCATCATAGGGTCCTGGGAAGGCCCTGTGAACTTGGTCCTGGAACTGAAATCATGGATTCTTCACCCTTGATGGCAAAAGATGGGGGAGTTATGAGATGGATTTGGGCACTCAGCTAGGTTAGTTACTTCCCTTGGCTCTGCCTGTGGGCTCTCATTTGTAAAATGATGTCCTGTCAGCCCACCTGTCAAATGATCAGTGTCTCAGATATTGACAATAATAGCACTTATTACCTCTTCTGGTTATCATAAGGAATAAATCAGATAAATCTGTGTAAACAGTTGACAGAGTTGATATCATCTAAGTATCTGTTACACTCATTATTCTTTGAGAAATAATGAGTATAATTATTGTTCTCTTTGAGAAATTATCCACACAGAGCTTTGGAGATGGAAAAATATTTCAAGTTTTAGAAAGGGGAAGAAGAGACAGATTGTAGAAATTACAGCCTAATAAATTTGACATTAAATCCTGGCAGAATTCTCATGTGGATGAGTTCAGAGATGGCTTGGGAGGACCAGCATAAAAAGTCCTAATGGCTTCTGTATTAGTTTGCTAGGCCTGCCAGGTGGACGACCATGAACAGGTGGCTTAAATAACAGGAGTGTATTGTGTCACAGTTGTGGAGACTAGAAATCGAAAATCAAGGTGTCCTCAGGATTGGCTATTCTGGGGGGCCGGTGGGGTGGGCGTGAGGGAGGATCTGTCCTGGGTCTCTCTCCTTTGCTTGTAGATGGTTATTGTCTCCCCGTGTCTCTTCATATCATCTTCCCTCTGTGCCTGTGTTGAAATTTCTCCTTTTTTACAAGGACAGAGGTCATATTGGGTTAGGGCCCACCCAAATGTTGTTGTTCAGTCGCTCAGTTGTGTCCAACTCTTTGTGACCTCATGGACTGCAGCAAACCAGGCTTCCCTGTCCTTCACTATCTCCCAGAGCTTGCTCAAACTTACGTCTATCGAGTTGGTGATGCCATCCAATCATCTCATCCTCTGTTGTCCCCATCTCCTCCTGCCTTCAATCTTTCCCAGCATCAGGGTCTTTTCTAAGGGGTCAGTTCTTCATATCAGGTGGCAAAGTACTGGAGTTTCAACTTCACCATCAATCCTTCCAGTGAATATTCAGGATTGATTTCCTTTAGAATTGACTGGTTTGATCTCCTCGCAGTCCAAGGGACTCTCAAGAGTCTTCTCCAACACCACAGTTCAAAAGCATCAATTCTTTGGCCTCAGCCTCCTTTATAGCCCAACTCTCACATCCATACGTGACTACCGGAAAAACCAAAGCTTTGACTAGATGGACCTTTGTTGGCAAGGTGCCTGTGCTGAAATTTCTCCTTTTTACAAGGACAATGGTCATATTGGTTTAGGGCCCACCAAATGACCTCATTTTAACTTGATTCCCTCTGACGTTTCTGTACATACAACCATGTTCTGAGGTCCTAGGGGGTTAGGAAAAATTTTAAAAAATTCTTTTATTTATTATTTAAAAAATATTTGTTCATTTATCTGACTGTGCCGGCTCTCAGTTGCTGCTCATGGGACCTTCATTGCATCTTGTGGGACCTTTATTTGTGGCACGCAGGCTCTCTAGTTACCATGCAAGGACTCAGTAATTATGGCTCTTGGGCTTAGTTGCCCTTTGGCAGGTGGAATCTTAGTTTCTGGACCAGGTATCAAACCCGCATCCCCTGCATTGCAAGGTGGATTCTTAACTACTGACCACTAGGAAAGTCCCTTAACATATCTTTTTAAAGGGAAATTCAGCCCTTAACAGATTCGCTAACAAAAGTCAAGTCAAGCAAAATAAGCCTTACTATTTTGGTGGTATAGAAGAAGAGAAATATATACAGAGTGAACTTAGAGTTTTTTTAAAAGGTATTCAAGACTCTTAATTTTCACAAATGAAATTTATGGTGAGTATATTCCCCCTCCTCCCACACAGGCACTTGGTTTTATCTGCATTTGAATTACACACCTTGGCTCCAGGATCTGCCTCTTCACTTGACTCCATGTTCTCGAGACCTCACCCTTATTTTCAAGGCTTTCTTCTCGTCCACCCAGGACCTTTACTTTGTGATATTGTGTGCCTTGTAAGCTTGCGAAACAATTATGAGATTGTTCTCTGATGGATTGTTCCTGCTCACAGGAAAATGGCATTAAAATATTTATAGAGAAATGAATTTCAGTTTCCAATGGAAAAGGCCAGAAGAAATATGGTTTAAAATTTCATAGAAAATGACACCGTTCTCATTATTTTATTTTGAAAAGGAGGAGGAAAAAAAATCTCCTGACGGTGACTTCACCTTTTAGTTCATGTGAAAAATTCCAGTGTGGAGATTTATCATCGTAATATTTCTACCATTGAGGATTTATATTTTCATTTCAGAATTTAATTATTAATTTGATCATGAAACTTTCTCAGAACTTCTTTATTAAAACCCCTTTTATTATTTTATTAAGTAATGAAGAATTTCATCTGTGTTTCAAGAGGGAGTGGAGTAGGCTGACTTTTGTCACGTTGGCATTTAAGTGTAAGCACTGGGCTCCTAAAAAGTACACGTCCAGGCCTGCAGGATGGGTGGATCCTGTGATAAGACTTGTGTGGGTCCTGCTTTGTTTTCAGTAGTCGTGCTCTCTGCTTAACCTAGTCTCCCAGGTGAACCTTATTACCCGATAGAAATCTTATCCACCCAGCGAGTACATGTGTGTTTGGAAAAGCAGCACTTCTCCTCCACCCTTGCCCCCTGACTTTGAAAACAAATTCCAAACACACTCCTCCTCTTTCCTCCTCCTAATCAGATACTGACTTTCAATGCCTCCCAAGCCCTGTTGACGTTTCTGTCTTGAGTTAATTTTTTGGTAACTCTTTGTCTGTTTACACATGGCTGCTTTTTGCTCCACAAGCTGCTGAAGGCCTTAACAGAAAGACCTAGCCCATCCTCCTCCAGGTGTCCGGTGTCTTTTTCTCCTCCCATAAATAAAGGAATGCCTCTGATTTTGTTTTCCTTTATAGTTTCTATTGGTCCTTCCTATTTTTACTACTTGAGTGGCCAGGAATTCAGCCTTGATGTATGATGGACCTTTTTAATTTTTCTAAAAATCTTTGACCCCCTCAAAGAGGATTGCTGGGCCTGGCCTGAAGGTAGTGCAGTGACCTGTCTGGCTTTTGAGAGTCAGCAGAGGCTGGTGGCCTGGGGCCTGTCCACCTCTGTCCTCATGCAGTGGGGCGGCTAGTCTCTACAGAGGGATTGATTATGAGAGGATTGGAAAAGTGTTTTATAAATATCAAGGCACAGCACTACATCAGTGGAAGCAGGAATGACCACCTGACTTGCTTTTCCAAGTGTCTCTTGCTCAATCTTTTTCTGCTTTCTAGAACTGGCCAATACTTTATCCAGTCCACTGCTCTAGTCTTCCTTTCAAGTGTAGCGATTGTTTGAGCCTTAGCAGTGCAGCAATTACTTGGGTTTTGAGTGTGCATTTTAAAGCTGAAGTGTTAAATTTTTATGGGCACAGTACTCATGATTTCAAAAGTGTTCTTTTCCAAAAGTGTATTTTTCAAATTGGAATTGCCTTTTCACATTATTTTAGGTTTTCTGTAGGACTGAGATTTTGAGTGAGAGTTTGAGAGGGGAATAATTTTTTTTTGTTAGCTTTAAGCTTCAATTAAAAAACAATCCTCATGATAAAAATCTTAAAGATTTATTTTATGATATTGTTAAGAAAGATGGCACATACGTCATCTCTTTAACATTCTGAATCATGTTGAGAGTTGCAGTGTTTGTTTTCATACTCTGTCTACAGGTGCTATGCAAGGCCAGGAGTGTAGCAGGCAGAGAGGAAAACCTCTCATTTACATTGTGGCTCCCTTTCTAAGTTTGACTTGAGTGTTTGCTTTAAAGATAATTTCTTTTCTGTATGAATAATATCAGGCATTCTCTTCTGAGCTGGGAAATTGTTCTTTTTACAGTCAGTTTTTATCAAACATGTTTTAAAAACAGTGGAACATTTCCGAAACACGTGTCATGAATTGTTCATTGTGAACTTTCCTATTTTGCCTGTTCTAGTGTATGTGACTTTATTATACTCTGCACCATTTAATAAATATAAATGCAGTCCTGCATCTTATTTTCACAAAGACTTGCATATTATTTTTGTACATTCAGTAGTCTGCTCTTATGCTGGAGGATACATTCCAGACCCCAAGTGGGTGCCTGAAACCATGGATGGTACTGAATCCTATGGATACTATGTTTTTTCTTATATATATGAATATATATATATGATAAAGTTTAATTTATAAATTCAGCCCAGTTGGAGATTAACAATAATAATTAATAATAAAATAGGACAATGGTAATAATACAGTATAATGAAAGTTATGTGAATGTGGTTGTTTCTCAGAATATCCCATTTTACAGATTTAAAGCATCTTCCATCTTATCTAAGCACTTACCATGCACTGTGGCCATAACCTTTGCAGTTTGAGAGGCAACAGCAAAACATGAAGATGTTTCTTTCTTCGTGATCTCACAGATAGATTATTTGTTCTTGCTGTAGCTCATAGCAACTTCAACTTACGATTTTTTTCCTTTCCTTATTAAGTCAGGAACTTTCACCTCTCACTTACAGAAAGTGCTTAATGGCTCCTCTCTGGCATATTCAAATCACCAGCATCCCAACTCTTGCACCTAGGGGCCAATATTAAGTGACTTAAGGGTCACTTGCACACAGCATTGTGACACTACGACCGGTGATCTGATACCCTAGGTGGCTACTAAGTGACTAATGGGTGGGATACACTGGCCAAAGGGATGGTTCACATCCCAGCCACCAGGTGGCTCAAGATTTCATCATGGTACTCAGAATGGCGCACAATTTAAAACTTATGCATTGTTTACTTCTGGATTTTTCCATTTAATAATTTTGGACTGTGGTTGCCCGTGGGTCACTGAAACTTTGGAAAGGGAAACCACGGATCAGGGAAGACTGCTGCGTCACTTCAGTCGTGTCCGACTCTGTGCGACCCCATAGATGGCAGCCCACTAGGCTCTGCCGTCCCTGGGATTCTCCAGGCAAGAACACTGGAAGACTACGGTACTTTTATTTTGAGATTTGTAATACCTTAGCCTCTGTAAGGGCTTCCCTGATGGCTCAGATGGTAAAGAATCTGCCTGCAATGACGAAGACCTGGGTCAGGAAGATCCCTGGAGAAGGGAATGACTACTCATTCCAGTAGGGATTCCCAGTGGCTCAGCGGTAAAGAATCTGCCTGCTAATGCAGGCAGGAGATACAGGAGACACAGGTTCGACCCCTGGGTCAGGAAGATCCCCTGGAGTAAGGGCATGGCAACCCACTCCAGTATTCTTGCTCATGGACAGAGGAGCCTGGTGGGCTACAGTCCACGGGGTCACAGGGAGTCATATACAACTGAATGGCTGAACTTGTATACTATAGTCATTAAGAGCCCAAGTTTTGAAGGTGAACTTTTCAGTTTGAGCTCTGGACTCAATCAGTTATTACTTCATCTCTCCAGCCTCAGTGTCCTTTTCTGTAAAATGACGATAATAACAGCAGCTACCAACTGGAGTTGTTGAGTTGTCCTTGAAGACGTAAGTGCTTGACGCATACATGTTAACTGTTAACCATTGGCAGTGAGCATTTATGAGACTGAAGACACATGGTGTGGGGTCACCATTTGGGTCTAGCAGAGATGTAGGATTCTAGGCTGGAGAAAACCACAGAGGATGGAAAGGGAGGTTGAGACTAAGGAGAGCAAGACCCCCTTGGTTCTAAGTACAGAAGGCAGTGTTGCTTTTCTGTTGGATTATTCTGTTACTCAGATCATCAAAAGTAAGAAGATGGATACAGAGTGTATTTATTTATTTTAAGATTTCATTGAAAATTTTTTATTGGAGTAGAGTTGCTTTATAACGTTGTGTTAGCTCCTGCTGTACAGTAAAGTAAATCAGCTCTCTGTATACGTATATCCCCTCTTTTTTTTGGATTTCCTTCTGTTTAGCTCACCATAGAGCACTGAATAGAGTTTTCTGTGCTCCCCAGTAGGTTCCCATTAGTTATCTATTTTATCCATAGTATCAACAGTGTATATATGTCCATCCCAATCTCCCAATTAATTTTTTTTTGAAGTCATTTTTCATTTCAACAGAATAAATAGGAAAAGATTTGTGGTCGTTGGATTCCTGGACCAGAAAACTTGATGCATCTGTCTCCTTGTTCTCTCTGAACAGGAAGCTGAATTGCTGTTCTGAGTAGAGTTTCTGTCTGGAACCAGATGTGTCACCTGATCCACACTTGGCTAGACCAGTTAAATGTTTGGATGAAGTGACATCCTTCTCTTTTTCTTTTTGGAGTTTTCTATTCTGGATTAATGTTGGATACTTGTTGATGGGGGTTGGAGGGAGGCTTGTAATTTAGAATCAGTTGGTCAGGGAAATCTAGTCCTTGCTGCTGCTAAGTCACTTCAGTCGTGTCCGACTCTGTGTGACCCCATAGATGGCAGCCTACCAGGCTCCTCTGTCCCTGGGATTCTCCAGGCAAGAACGCTGGAGTGGGTTTCCATTTCCTTCTCCAGTGCATAAAAGTGAAAAGTGAAAGTGAAGTCGCTCAGTGGTGTCTGACTCTTCGCGACCCCATGGACTGCAGCCCACCAGGCTCCTCCGTCCATGGGAGTTTCCAGGCAAGAGTCCTGGAGTGGGGTGCCACTGCCTTCTCTGAATCTAGTCCTTACATTTGAGCAAAACTTGGGGGAGGCCAGAAAATGAGCAGAAGAGTAATGTGACGTGTGACTGAGGTTTTTAACAGGATTGCTCTGGCTGTTGTGAAAATAATGTACACATAGGCCCCCAAAGGGCTTTTCCTGGGATGTGTATGCTGAAGGGACAGTCACACATAGGGTGTGTTTATGTCATCTTTAGTGTAACCAAGGATGTAATTTATGGTAATAATTCACCCAGAGTTCTCATGAGGCCTCAGCCCTTAAGGGACAAGGATTCCAGAAAAGCAACAGAGTAGGGGATTTCCATTATCATGGGTGACTAAGTTATGCTTTTGATTTAAGCAAGGTCGATACTTGTGGGCATTGTTTTATGTGCAAAAATATACCTTTTATTTCCTGAATGTACTGTAGGCCTGGATTGGTCTAGAAGGAACTTGAAAAAATCCTATAGAATGGTTGAGTCCTGTTGATTTCCCAGCAGACGACCTCATTCCTTTCCTTGCCCTCCCTCATTCCATCCTCGCCTTTCCTGCCCTGCTGTGATGACCAGGGCTGAGGGCATTGCCCTAACAGACTGTATATTTCTGAGTGGTGGTCATTAATTTCCCTTGGTTTGGCTGAAGAAACGTTCCTGTCACCTATCTCAAAACGTAGAGTACCACCTTGGCACGCATATGTTTTGACAACGGAACCTTGTTCTGCAGCTAGAGGCTGGCATGGTTCTACTTCCTATTAATTTTCTTGTACAATTAAGGCACCTAGGAAAACATTTGATGAAAGTTTTCATTTTGTGGTCTCATAATAAATAGCATAAAGTGATTTGCCAATCCGTTGGCTTTGGTGGCAATTTTTGTACATAAGGTATGCAAACTATGGTTATCACAGAGGTTATAATTGGGAGAACATGATGACTCTTACCTTTTGAACCCTTGGAATACGGAAATGGATTAACACAGATAACTGTTCGAAGTTTTCACATCTCATTTTTGTATTTGCCAAACACATCCCCACGGGTTCCGTTTCTTGGCAGTGCATGTGTTTGGAGACATGTGTGTTCTCCAGCAATCATGAATGACTTTTCCCCCACATATTGCAGTTGTGCAGGTCTGTGGATGGAGCCAAACTGGGGGGATTCTTAGTCCATCATTTCAGTTTTAATTTCTTGTAAAATATTAGCAAGAAGGCAAAGTTATTTTACATCAAAGCGACTATTTTGGGGAAGTGGCAAATTAAATTTTATGGCTGCAGCTGTGCTGAATGGAATTTGTAGGAAGTTGAAGAGAAGGGAATGCTTACAACACTGTGATTTAAATCCTTAGTTTAAGAAAGATGCAAGCTGTGAATAAACTACAGTATTGAGATGTAGAAAAATATTTTTGTAAAGATGTGTTTTAAAACTTAGGTCCTGTTGTTTTAGCTTCAAGGTCTTTCAAAAACAATGACTGCTCTGATTTTGCAAAGGGTGTCTTTGTTCAGAAGTCAATATAACACACTGGAAAAAAAGGGTAACTTAGTAGGGAGTGTCCCTGATGGTGAGTACAGTCAGTCTTCTGTGTTTGCAGTGTGTGCCTCAGTGGATTCCACCAGTCACCGCTAAGGTATGTTGAACCCTTGGAAGTGGAACCCTGTGACTATGGGACTTGAGCTCCCATGGAGTTCGGTATTCACAGTGGGTCTTGGAACCAGTCCTCCGTGGGTACTGAGGGATGACTGTATCCCTGTGACAGAGTGTGGCCAGGTGCAGCCCTTAGCAGAGGCCATGGCTGTGAGCTGGTTACCCCCTCTCCTCTCTGTTACCAGGCAGCAGTTACCAGGGGACCATTAGTGGTCCTGCTTAGCCATTGGTCAGTGCCACAGGGGGCCCCTCCCATAAGCAACCAACTGTCAGTGAGCGACCGTTAGTGGTCCTGCTCAGCCATTGGCTCCAGGTCCCTCTCACATGCAACCAACTGTCAGTGAAGGACCCTTAGTGAAAATGTAAATGAAAGTGAAAGTTGCTCAGTTGTGTCCGACTCTTTGTGACCCCATGGACTATACAGTCCATGGAACTCTCCAGGCCAGAATACTGGAGTAGGTAGCCTTTCCCTTCTCCAGGGGGGCATTCAGCAAATGGTCCATGGAATGAGTGGTGGTCCTCCATGGTGGTCTCCTCAGTGGAGACTGAGGTAGAGGCAGATCCTGGCCTTCTCCCTGGGGACCTGCAACTCACCCAGCCTCATAGCAGCGGGTAAGTTGGAGGGCCCAGGGAACAGGCCGGAGGCTCCGTCCTGCAGGGCTCTGGAGCCCTCGCAAGGCCACCCACTGGCCAGGCCCAGGCCTTGAGACAGCAGTGACCCTCTCCCCCAGTTTTGCCTCTGTGACCTCATGGCAGTGGCTGTCTGCATAGGACGCAGTCTATCGACCTGGCCCCTGCCGTTTGGGCAGCCTGAGGAGCCTGAGGGCCAGTTGGGTCCTGGGCGCCTGGCTGCCTCGGCCATGACAGCTGGATGGAGTCTGGGCACCTGGCCCTGAGGGAGCCGCCAGATGAGCCTTGCCTTCTCCCAGCCAGGACTGGACCTCAGAGAGCGAAAGCCATGACTTGGGACCTTTCTTGTCAGAACCGGGAATAACATTCGTTCGGTGGAGGCTTATGGGAATATCATTCCCTGAACTTTGGGCTCACTTCAGGAACAAGGGATCTGACCCCCAAGAATTTTGCAACAGCTCACCTGCTCCTCCTTCGGCTTTCCTAGAAAAGGTCTTTGGTGAGAGCTTTCAGGGAGTTTGGGGTTTTGAAGGCATAGGCCCCCCATATCCTTGTAGGGCCCCCAATAAATGTTTCTCTGCTCCAAACTCTGACATTCTGCTGTTGTTTGGCCTCACTGTGTGTCGGGCATGTGAATTCGGATTTTGGTGACATCACGGGTAAAGAATGTGAGAAGGAGCAGGACTTTTACCATATGTTGTTCCTTTTCCCTTAAGTACCACCTTCCTCACCCAGCCCCCCACCACATAACTTTGGTTAGTCTCTCTATTGTACACTTTTCTAGCTGTATATAGTTTGCCATAGCACTTATTTTGTACTTAGTTGAATAATGTGTTATTCTAGGGATTCCATGAGATAAGGGAAAATTTCATTATTTTTGTTATTAATGAGTCATCGTTGCCTATAGACAATGCCTGGCACAGTGATACATTTTGGCTCTTGATAGGGATTTGTTTGATGAATAAATCCATGAATGGTTGAGTATAGGAAACAATAGAAAGGTCTCTTTTTACTGAGAAAGATTTAGGCTTAGTCTGTGAGTTCAAATGCCTTGGGGCCAGGCAACCCAAGTAAGTGAAGGAGACTGGTGAAGTGACTTGTGAGGTGATGGACAACCAGATAGAATGTCCTGGATTCTATGGGCACCTGGATAGATGCCTGCTTGGTGGGTGTTCTCTTTCCTCCTTCAGTGGAAGGTAATTCTTCTCATCATAGGGGTGTATGCTTGGACTGTGATAAATTTGATGGACTCATCCCAGCAGATGGATTAGGTTGGGGTGGACTTAAGTAGTAGAGAAGACCGGAAGGAAGGCTGTTGGCAGACCTGGAGTGCCAGGATGGTTTTTGAGTGGAGATGAGAAATCATCAGATGAGGGAGTGTTGAGAAAGAAAATTTTGGCAGCCGGGGATGTCTTCATGGAGAACAGAGGACTAGTGGGTTTTGAAGTTAGCATAAAGTCCTCACTAAATGAAGCAAGCACTGGGAGAAATGTGGTGGTCAGACCAATAGTTTAATATCTAACACTATTTTTGCAAAGACAAACATATCAGAAAAACAGATTTCTAAAAAGTATACTGCTATTCATTGACGTCTTTCTGGAATCCACAGAAATGGTGACTGGAAGAGGAAATCGTGAGTTAAAGTCAGATTGCTGTGGGTTGAGGGTTGAGTGGGATGTGAGAAAGGAAAGCCAGTGAATGGAGACTCCTCTTTTGAGAAGTTTTTCAAAAAAAGGAAAAAAAGAGGCTGGAGCAGAAACAGGGGCAGTGGAAAATACCATAAGACACAAGGGGTAGGAGGGACTTACCTCCATGAGGATCCATCTTCCTGAGATAGTGAAAGCAGGACAGAGTGGGTGTTGATGCCCAGCTCCTGAGGTGGACATGGCCAGTGGACAGTGAGGTATCATCAGGGGGCAGGAGAGTGCAGGGCACTCATTGAGGAACGTGTGTAGGGTTGGGGTTTCTGTCCTTGTGTGTAGGAGAGAGTCCTGAACTGCATTTCCATTTCCACTTTTATCACAGATTTTAACAGGTGGTAAAAGAATATTCTTGGAAAGATTGAGGGAAAGCTTCTTTTGCTTTTTTCCTTCTGACTTGAAAACTCACCAGAAGCCTTCAACACTTCCAGAAATCTTGAAAGAAGTGGTGGTGTTCGGAGGATATTTTGAACCTGTGGAAACCCAGACACCATTGCTTTTCTGTGAAGGAGCCTGGTTTGACTGAAAGTCCAAGTCTAAGGCCTGTCTCGCAGAGCTGCAGTTAGCCTCTCAGTCAGATAACTGCATCTGAAGTGCTTTGGAAAATAATAGATCAGTACTGAAGTATCATAAAATATTATGATACTACTGTAGACATTCAGTAATGTCTTTGGAATCTGGTAAAACCTTAAGTTTACGAGTACTTTTTAATTTAAAAAAGTATTTTTGCTTTGCCAGGCCATTGCTGTTTTTCCATCAGTGAATTTTGGGCTAAGGTCTTTTCAGATTGTCTCATATTAAGTCAACAAATCTATTTCAAATGTGTTTGTTACTAAGCAACGGTTGCCAAGAGCCTCTGTAATTAAGATGAAACTTGCAAGGTAACAATGCCCAAACATAGTACCATTTTCACCATTTTCTGATAATGTTGAGAATAGGATGAATAAAAGCAAAAGAAGATGCTATTTCAGTAAGAGCCCAGCATCTGAAATTTCTGAATATGTTGGCTGTCCACTGGCTCATCTGGGATAGAGTGTTTGTGTTTTACAAATCAGCCAGTGATTTTTTCTTTTGTGTCTGACATCCATATTCCTGATGTGAACCAGTAAGCACCCGCTATGCAGCTGTGACACAACTGGCCGTGTGGTACCCAGACCCTCCTTGTCTGGACTTGCGCTCTGGCAAGCAGGGTGACCAGAGTGAGCTTCACGTGAGCTCAACTTCCTTGGCAGCCATGACTGACCTAGATTAAGCTATGATGCAGGCATGTCATGTACTTTGCTTACCAACAACACAGTGTCTTTTTCTTTTGGTGATTTTTAAAAGCAGGCTCAGATGAATTTTTTCCTATTCATTGTGCTTGGCTCATATCAGGCGCCTTACAAATGCTCCCTTTTCCCTTCCTGGTCCATTCTGTTCCAGGGGCAGGAGAGTGGGGGCAGGGTAGAGTTTCCATGACGACCTGGTATTGAATGACCTCCTTTCAGACCTGTTGTTAGATGCCCAGAGGGCCAGAATGGAGGTCCAGACAGCCAAACCTCACCTCATGGATGGCTTTGCTGATAAAAGAGGAGTCTGTCCCAGTCAACGAGCAATACTGAGTGACCCTCCAGCTACTTACAGACTCGGCGCTTCCTCACTGGGGTTTCTCCCAGCTTGGCCTTGCTGAAGGCAGAGTGTATGTCAGTCGCCGAAGAGCACTGACCAGTACTCTAGGTGTATTGTCTTGGGCAAGTCATGATCACTTTGAACTTTAATGTCTCTACCCTTCCTCTGGGGACAGAAATCCTTGCTTGGCTCATGTAGTTGGATTTTCGTAGGAATTAGATGAGATAACATATGAAAGCGCTGTGAAAATGTATATACGTAGTCATTTATTCAACAAATACTTACTGAGCGGCTCCTATGTGCCAGGCGCTATTCTGGTTTCATAATGTATTTCTTACCAGCAGAGATAAGTAGATCTACTTAATTCTTTTACCTGGCAGTTTAATATTCCATGGTGTAGATGTTCCATAATTTCTTTAACCATCCCCCAGTTATGAGCATTTAAGCAGACAGTGCTGCATTGAACATCTTTATGCATATGTTTTCAGCATATGTGAGAACATTTTTCTAGGAGGGTATTGCAAAAGATCAAAAGGCATGCATACTTAATATCTTTATGGGTACTATAAAATTCTTCCCAAAAGACAAATTATCTTTTCACCTGACACATATAAGAGTACTCATCTTCTCATACCCTTGCTAATATGATCTTTTAAATTTTACTGATCTGTTGAATGAAAAGTAGTATCTAATGGTTGTGTTATTTTCAAGTCCTGATTTCTTAATGAGCATCTTCTTCTGTTTATTGACCAGTTTTCATTCTTCTATGATTAATCTTTTTAGCTATCTCTTTATCTGTTGGGAGATACATATTTTTCTTATTAATTCAAAGGGACGTTTTATACATTTAAAACATGTTTGTATATACTTTTGAGGTGATAGGTCCAGTGTTAATCACTATATTACAGGGGAGCTAAGAGGTACATGAAGTTAAATAGCTAGTTACAAGTCACACAGCCAGTTGATGATGGGGCTTGGTTTATATCCAGGCTCCTCCTAGTCCAGTCTGCTTTTATTTGAGCAGAGAGATAACCTCTCTGCTCAGCAGGCCATGGAAGGTGGGTTAACTTTGTGGTGGATGGCTGGAAGCAGCATGAAGGAGGCCTCTGGGTCACAGGGGCTGAACGCACGCCTCTCCAAGTGCCAGCAGCCCTTCATGAGTTACCTAATCCTGGGAAAAAGTGAAGACTGGGGGCTGATGACTGTGTCTTTGTTCCTTGGGAGGTGGATACAAAGGCAGAGGAGAACAAGAGTGACAGCCCTGGTAGGGCGCTGCCTTTCCTTCTTCCAAGGGCACGAGTACCCTGCGCTTCAGCTGCCTCTGCATTGCAGACACTGGAGGGTGTTACTATTCTTGATAATCACAAGAGGAACGGAACAAAGATCTTCTCCTTATTTGAGTTTTCTGCAGCACCTCTTTTGAATAATCAGAACTTTTTTCTTTCTGATTGAATCATTACCATTTCCTTTTCTGTGTAAACTGAAGTTTTTCTGAAATGGCTTTATTTTAGGCTTTTCTCTTCTTATCCTCATCTGGCTTGTGATGTATGTTCAACAGGGCATATCCTAGGGTACAGATTCTAGCTTTTTTTTTTTTTTAAGACTGGAAGCAACCTTACGGGCCATCTGGTTCAATTCACTTATTGAATCTAAGATCTTGTGAAGCAGGGTGGTTTGCCAAGATTACCCAATTATTCCCCATCAGAGACTAGGACTGGGGACTCTTCAACTCTGTTAGGACTTTTGGAGCCATTTGACATGTTTATGAAGTTTTTCTATTTTTTAATATCTTTTTCTTTTGGATTTCTTACCTTGAAAGTGAGGCTGGTGGTACTTACTTCATTCAACTGCTGTGCTAAGTAGTTATTTAAAAAGCATTTTTACATTTGAATTTTAAGCCCGTTTCTGCATATTTTTGAAAACCTCTTTTCACAGCTTCCATTATGCATATATCATGAACTTATAGTTAACACTTGTTGAATTAATGAAAGGTTGACATAGTTGTTATGTATTTCTCTAATTCAGTCGCACATGTGCACACACACACACACACACTTAATTTCCAAGTCACCACTGTCTAACCATTTCAAAGTTATATAGTCTGGCTCCTGGTTTCAGACATGGAAATATTTGAAATACTCAGAGTAAATAAAATTCTCCCAAGACTTTGAAGAATTTACAGAAGGGGATACCATGGCTTCCTTTCGGCATTCATTTTGATTTTTAATAATTGATCTTGTTAGGAGATTTCTTTGTGTTCCAGGCCCTGTTTCACAGGCCTCCAGAGCCTCCAGAGCACGCTCAGGGTAAAACCAGCTGGAGTCTGCACAGTTACAGGTGGTGGGGTGCCTCGGGTCATGCTAAATAGTTTAGGCTGGTACAGCCCGGGGTGAAGCTGCAATTGGTTTGTCTGTCTGGTCGTGGGCTCAGAGAAGGGCCAGGCACATTTGAAGTCAGATATCTGTGTACTGGGAACACCACCAGTAGGGAGTGCTTAGAAATGGGGGCTTGTATTACCAAGGAGAACGCTAGGAGAATTACTGTTCCTACAAGTTTCTCCACTGAATGAGGTCTTTTGTCTTGTTACAAAGAGTGATTCACAACCCTCTGGTCCTGGCCTGGCTGGGGTTGATATCTGGATCCCCAGGCGTGGGACCTGCCTTCTACCTAGAAGCATTTGGTATTAAGTCAAGAGAGATTTTCCTGAGGAGGAGTTCTGCTGAGGAGGAGGGGGTGGGGGAGATAACCCTGAGCCTCAGCCACCCTGTTGAGTTAAACTCTGGGGCAGGCGTTTGCTGTGGGCATCCCATGCTTTTGGCATTAGAGCCCTCATCTCAGGGGATATAATTGACTTTTGGTTCAAAGTAGAGGAAAGCTTAACGTGCTTTAAATAATCCTTTCTCTAATTTCCCTTTTGTCCATTTTATTCAATCCAATTTTACTCTCTCAGATTTACTTTTCCAGCTTTTAATCATCTTTTTGTGCTTCACTATCAGTGGGTTATTTTTGATGTCAAAGAGTGGCTTAAAAAAAAAAACCTATTACTTTAATATTAGTGTTTTTCTTTGAAGTTTTAAAAAGCATAATATTAGATATATAGAAAAGTTGCAAGAATATTACAAAGAATTCCTGTAAACTTTTCCAGATTTCTCAAATGATGACATTTTATCCTTTTCTCTTTTTTCTCTGTTTTTGTTTTCTGAACCATTGGGCTAAGTCAGACATGATGTCTCTGTCCTTAAATACTTCACTGTGTGTTTCCTGAAAACAATGAAACTCTCTACTTAAATACCAGAGCCCTATCAAAATTGTGAAAGTAACATTAATACCGTCATACTATCTAATCTACAGCCCTCATTCAGATTTTACAAATTGAAACAACAAAGTCACTCTTAGCAAAAGAAAGTCCCAAACCATGCATTTTATTGAATTGTTATGTGTCTTTGGATGTCTTTAATTTGGAGCAGTTCTTTCTTTTCTTTTATGACAGTGACATTTTTGAGCAGTATAGACCAGTCCTTCTTTCCTTCCTGCCTTCGCTTCTTCCTTCCTTCGTTTGTAGAATGCCTCTTGTTTTACATTTGTTTGATGTTTACTTGTGATTAGATTCAGGTTATTCATTGGGCTTCCTGCATAGCTCAGTCAGTAAAGAGTCTGTCTGCAATACAGGAGACCTGGGTTTGATCCCTGGGTTGGGAAGATCCCCTGGAGAAGGAAATGGCTCCTGACTCCGGTATTCTTGCCTGGAGAATCCCATGGGCAGAGGAGCCTGGGCTGCAGTCTGTAATAAGAGTTGGACACGACTGAGCGACTAAGCACATAGCACACACATTCATTTCTGGCAGGACTAGGATGACTACTCTTCTTAAGTGATATGAACTTTTAGTTAATATTGATTTATTAAGGTTGAAGACTAGATTTATTTTTAATGTATGCCTTTATTTTACTTAAAATACTTGCTATTCTTTATGTAAATCTAGTAAGTAATGTATAAAATAAGAACAAACAGTTTTTGGATGTTTAAATTATGGCCAGTAAACTCAAGTTGAACAAACTAAATTCCCATTAACCCATTTCATTTAAAAGTTAATCACATTTTCTTAAATCTGTAAAGATTCATTTGTAAATGAATATATCCAGTCTTCTTTTTAATCGCTTTAAATGCTTATAAAGCAAACTGAAAGACCTTCACATTGTTCTAAACATTCTAATACTGTTGGAAAACACTTATATTTTTCACTTATAGTCACAAGTCTGTTACAATCTGGCATGTTCCCAAAGATGGCAGATTCTCAAGCATTCCATATAATTTAATACTTAGTGTACAAAGATGATTCTGAACTCAATACAAATTGTTAGTACTATTGCCTTTATTTACTTCAGTATCTCTATATTTAATTCAAGACACATGCTCACTAAGGGAAGAAGATAGATTATGTGAGGTCGGCTGAGGTTGCCATGCTAATGGTTGCGGTGACTGGGCCACCATGCAGTTGT